TATGGCATTCGCGAGAGGGTGGGGATCATTCGCGGTGGATACCGTTATCGAGTGCTCCTTCCTTCTCATCCTCCTCCTCTTCTCGCTCTCCCTCGCTCCATGCCCGGCATCTTCTCGTCGTGTTCCTGGACCACGCGCGAGATTGTATTGGCGTGTGTATCCCTTCGGGGATATCCGTCCAGACATCGGCCGACATTGGCGTTCTCAATCCTTCCGTTATCATCAATATAATTAAATCATTTCAGACGGGGAGCGACAACCAGTCGAGTCAGATCACCGTCACGATTACGTTCTTATCGCGTTCACATCACGCGATAAGTATTTGCAAATACCTGCTGCTATTGCAGAGAGTCTAGTCTTTCCCGATAATTCCGGACCGCAGGCAAGAGGTCTGGTCTTCCTTTCGAAAAAGGAAGAGCATGAAAGAGCGCGTTGTCACCTATCAGTTCCGCGGAGCCGCTTTTACACACGGAGAGAATATTCCTTTTCATGTGAGTTCTTCTCAATGCTCTACACGCAAAAAAGAACTAGCTTCCAGAGCTAAAAAATAGCTGTGGCAGATAAGATATGTCATTGAAATAAGGACAGCTAATGTCGATACTACCGAAGGCGCTACAGCGAGAAATATTAGCTGCTAGAAATAAATGACTGTAATAAATGATTGTAGCTGTACGGCAAACTTCTTTAATATATGCATACGATAAGAAATTTAGGAATAACTGTCATTTTCTTAGCTACTTGAAATAATGTGCATTTTTAATGTCACCTAATATATTTGTATTTCATAGCGAATGCGTCTTAGCTGTCATAGCCAATTCTTAGCAGTGACAGCTAAACAACAATTAGCCTTTTGACTAAGTTTGAATCAGCTACCGCGGTTGATATTACTAAATCATTTTTTTGCGTGTACACTGAGAGAAAAAAATAGTTGGAGTAACTATAATCTCACTATATTTTATAGTTCGTTTTGGCCTCAAACATATATTTATAGTTCATCTAAACATGAAGATATAGTAGAATGAATACAGATTCATATTCACCATCTTATTACTCTATATATATAGTAAAGCACCTTTTGAGAATATAGTTA